CTTCGTCTCATGATTCTACTACAGAAGCTCCACGTAAAAAGAGAAGGTTTGTTTTAAAGAAATATTCTTTAATTCTATAGAAAGCATTATTTTTTAAAGTAAAAGACATAAAGTGATTAAAATTTCTTACAGCCGATTGGAGCCATCTGGTGAAACAGATGAGTATCTTACAAAAGTCGAAGTTAAAATTAAAATACCAGAAGAATTAAAATTTGTGCTTATAGATGAGTCAGAAGTAATATTAAAACATCATAAATTGCCTGCCTTACCTGTGAAAAATGCAGTTGACAAAATTTTAGATGATTATGTGGAATCAAAATCATTAGGAAAAAATGACTCTGTCAGGTATGTATATCAGTAGTTTTCAAATAAGAATCTTTATTATTTCTTTATCATATTTTTCTTTATTTAATCACAATTTTTTAACACCAATTTTAACTTGCTTATTTTCAGGGAAAGTACATTAGAAATAACTAAAGGTATTCGTGAGTACTTCAATATTTCTTTAGGTTTACAGTTATTATATAAGTGGGAACGTCCACAGTTTATTCAGATTATGAATGAGAATCCTGAAACACTGCCCAGCCAACTATACGGTGCATTTCATTTATTAAGGCTATTTGGTACTATTTTTATTTATAATTTATAATAGTAGGATTACAAAACGCCGAAAATGTTGCGATTTAATGCTATTATTTTTCCAGTGAGACTTGGTGGAATGTTATCATATACTACTTTGGATGAAAGAAGCATACAACTATTACTATCTCATTTCCACGATTTTTTGCAATATTTACAGAAAAATAATACTGAACTTTTCAATCTTCAACAAGACTATGCAGACTCACCGCCAGATTATTACAGGAAATATGCCTAAGTTAGTATGAACGATTGGATACTTTTAATTAAATCAAGCAATACTGCCACATTTTGGTCGAGAATACTGAACGCGGCAGCTGCAATATTTGTTTAATAAAAATGTACATTAACGCAGTGTTAGAAGTAATTTCTTTTATAAGATAGGTTATTGTACAAATTTAAAAATTTTATAAATCGTGTATCGAATATTGTTTGACCAATTTCTAAATTGTTAACTTAGTTCTTTTAGTTTACTAAGTGTACAGAAAAATATAATACATTTTACAGTGTATACTTTAGTTTAGACCAAAATATTAATGAATGATACCTTTTATTTATTGTAAATATAATGTATTGCGATTTTACTAATTACAATTTTATACATATTTGGGAATACTCAACGGATAAGCATAAATTGTTTTTAATTATTACCATTCTACAAAATGCACATTTTTTACCTTTTTTAATATTTTAGTAATTACCATTTAAAATTATTTTAAATTACTGCAATTTTTAAATGATGTACATATTTACAATGAATTAAATGTATATAATTGATGTTCATATTAGAACGTGTAAATATATGATTTTATCGTTCTTTGAACGAGATTACTAATCACCGACAGCCTACTTAAATCGCAAAGAAATTCAGTGCTGCACAGTTGCAGCATAATGTGCAAATTCAATAATATGATCAAATCAAACATTCCCAGTATATGCAAATAGCTACTGTACATACGCATTCATTTACATTAGAATAACACAAATCTTACGTTATGTAAGACGTATTATTGTTCGAATATATATGGCAAAACTATTTGCAGTATAATTGCATTCGTTTAAATCGATAATTATTTTATCTTAAAAACATTATTTTACAATGATAAAACTAGGTTTGCGATGAACTTTCTTGTATTTATATAGGACCGGCAGTCGATAAGAGCACACGTATACGTGAAAATCGACGAGAGTTATATATACAGATAAATGCGTATACAAACGTATCATCTAGTCTACAAACATCGGGTCAGTCAGTCAGTGGCAAGAAAAAATGGCGGATGCCGAGTTGAACGTCGACAACCTGATACAAAGATTGTTGGAAGGTACGTGATAAAAAGGGAGCCTCTGTGAAAAGAAAGTGTGAAGTTATTCTCGGTAATTTCATCTACGGTTTGGTGTACAGTTGAACGAAAGTTTTCTCCGTAATACCCAGTGAAAATTGCTCGTTGGGAAGTCGCGCCGCGTACATCGAGTATATATACATTTCTTTCCAGCCAAAGGAAGATTAAATCGTGCGCGATCTACTTTATGACATCCGATATTTGTGCATAACGAGTCTACGAATGGTTTTCCTCGAGTTTCCCCGTTTGTCGAAAGTTTGTTTAACTCGCGGTCTGTAGATATTAAAGAGAGAGAAAAAAAAACGAAAAAAAGAAAAAGATATCGATCTTCCAGTGTTGCAGTCGTCGTAATTCTTTAGACATGCCAGACGTCTTCGGATTTATTCCGTACTTTTCTTTATTTTCTCAGAAGCGAAAACTATTTCCTTTTGTTTGTTCTCTTTTCTCATGCTACATGTCGGAACTCTTTGCGGTAAAGTATACCACACGCAGAAAGACCAGGTTCAGAAGAAAGCCAAGCTAAAAGATATTTTCTCGTCGGATTTTGTTGGTACGCAATAAGGAAACCACCCCACGTAGTTTTTTTCCGTTTTTTAGTTGCGTCTTTACCTGCCTCAAAGTCGTGCGTGAACGCTCGCCATGGTTTGCTTATGATTTACAATGTAAAGTGAAGTAGAAGCTAGATATAGTATTGTGGCACCTGCAACATCAAAGTTCTTCCAAGATATCATCTTTGTTCTCAGTCAACTGTATCATCATATTGATAATGTCCCATTAGCTTTCGTGATTTCAACACATTCAGTGTACATGAACATGGTTTTTTATGTTTTACTTGTGTTAAATTGGTAAATATACATAAAGTATTTAAACCAATAATTGCACATTTAATAGGGTAAAGCTTTTGGGACTATGTCTATATAACGATAACATTGAATTTGACTCACTCTCTTTGAATAACAGATCATATTTACATATAAAGGTACAATTTGTAACGACCCAATTTGCATGTAAAATATTGCTTGAATGCAAATTAGTTTACTTGCATGCTTGATATGATACTTGTCAGTGTTAATTTATGACCAAGCTTCTACAAGAATGTATACACCTACTTTTTATTTTCTCTCAGCTAATCAGCTGTCTTCTACAACAATAATATCACGTTTTTTCAAGATTTTACGACACTATTTGATGTATTTTCATGAATATGTTTTTAATGTCAATGTTTATGTTATCCTGGCATATGTTTCTCACAATGCATTCAGTTAATAAATGTACATTGCAACACTGACTTCGTTGAGCATTTTTGTTGTATCTTGTATGACGTACAAATATTGTACATCATTTGTTGTTAATGAAAAGGATTAATATATTTGACAAATAATTCATTATTTGGATAAGATATTTTCTTCTTTCAAGGGTTTCAAAAATAAATTTTTTATAATTAGAATGAAGATGCTAATGCTTGGTGAAGAGTAATTTTTTTTTTTATCTTTTCTGTGTGCCCTACTGTACTGTTGTATATTCTTTCGCTAAAATAATTTTTGTACCAGAGGTATTAGTCGTAATATGCAAATTGAGAACGTTGTTGAAATAAATCGTAATATTCCGCGACTAAAAAGCGGTCCAAACTTTCGTGTCTGATCAAATATAACGATGACGATGACTACGATTTTTTTTTATCATACTCCCTTTTCCGTAAATAACCGCAATATTAATAGACGTTGTTACTGACGTTATGCCGTTTCCGAAATTTCTGTCCTTCATTTCGGCACAGTAATTTCATCTGTTTTTTTTCCCTCTCCGCCATTAATCATGGTGCTTAAATACTCGTTGATGTGACCTTGCTGATATGCAGTTTTCCAATAACCACCATCGGCCCAGTTTATCCGCACCGTGAATTCCTTTATAGCTATAAATAATCCAGTGACACTAATACAAGGTAATCCGGAGAAGTAATTTGCGAACGAAATTTCTTATTTCTTTGCTCGTTCGTAATCGCTTTCATAACGTTTTCGTACGTTTACGTAGCCTGTATATTCATATATCACGATTGGCAGCGAATACATACACGTGACCAACCAGCTTCGAGCTTTTGTTTCCGAATGTTCCGTAAGTTTACGCTCGTATGGCGCATTATTCGAGCTCATGCAGCCACTTAATCCCTTCGAAGCATTATAACTACGGTGTGCGACAACCTTTTGTGTTCCCGATTATTGCATCAGAAGAAAACATATATTGCATCGCTTGATGTTTTTATGATCGAACCTCCTGTGTGGTAGCTCGCCCATCTTAAGAGTAAACCGTAGAAAACATTGTCGTTCGACAAAAATGATTTTTTCTTTATCGAAACATTTTTACAATTTATTTTCTAACATGTGATATATGAATAACGAACTTCGTTACTGGAGTCGATCAGAAACTATTTAGTTAGCAATGCAGGAACATGTCAGACCGTGACTATATACACACAACGAGAGAGAGAGAGAGAATCCGAACGAATAGGATAATCCGTCGAATCCGTGTAATAGTATTAACCCCTGTTCCCTCGTTCGAGAATCGGTTCTCGACAGTCAGACACCTTCATGCTCCAGCGTAGAGTTATGCTCGATGTACCTGTGACAAAACGACTCTCTGATGCCTCGCGATGCGTCCCGTGTCGAGAGAAACGGGACAGAAAATGCATTTAAACGTGCGAATTTTTGGGCGCAGTCCGAGGATGCCGGCCAGGAAAGACGGTGTTAATGTCGGAGGGCGAGGTGCGCGGCCTTTGCCTCAAGTCACGGGAGATTTTCCTTCAGCAGCCGATCCTGCTGGAGCTGGAGGCGCCACTTAAGATCTGCGGCGATATTCACGGCCAATACACCGACTTGTTACGGCTGTTCGAGTATGGCGGTTTCCCGCCCGAGGCGAACTACTTGTTCCTCGGAGACTACGTGGACAGGGGCAAGCAATCATTGGAAACGATATGCTTGTTACTCGCCTACAAGATCAAATACCCGGAGAACTTCTTTCTGTTGCGCGGCAATCACGAGTGCGCGAGCATAAACAGGATATACGGGTTCTACGACGAGTGCAAGAGACGGTACAACATCAAACTGTGGAAGACGTTTACCGATTGCTTCAACTGTTTACCGATCGCCGCGATCATCGATGAGAAGATATTCTGCTGTCATGGCGGCCTTAGTCCAGACCTACAGGTGATACTATGTCAATATCTCGCGAAGATTTTTTTTGGAAATTTTTCAGATATTCTTTTATTATATACGGTGGTTTGTTTTGAGGTAATTCTTCAGGTAAAGAATTAAAGAATAATTGCTTTACTTACAACTGAAGTTGGTAGTTGAACTACTATGATTGCATGTTTATATGTATAATTTTATAAGATTCGTAACGATCGTATGGGATTATAAAGAACAGAAAAAGATTAAAGATCGTAAGAAAGTGTTTATTTTACCCACGTTTTATGTGTTCGATAAGAGGCAAAGTTTTTCAAAGAGGAAGTCGTTCCTGTAACGTTGCGTGCGGAAGTATCGCGTTAAAATCGATACGACCTTAAAGAGTACCTCATAACGAGCTAAGTAACGTTGACCAATTTATAAAACGTGCGTAGTCAGTTTATGCTTCATTAAACGCTTCAAGAAGTAATTTTCAAAACTTTCCAAAGCGATTCTCACGTGATTTATATCTTCACGTGATAATATCTTCGAAAGATATTAAAGGCAACTTTAAAGCGGTATTTTCAAAACGTATTAAAATTTAAAACACGCCAAAGGTTGTTATTAAAAATAAGAAAATAACACGTATGTATTGTATATTTGAAACTCGATTATTTTTAAAACGATTTAAAGGTGCGATTGTTGTTCGCATATAATTGATAATTAACTTACATAATTGGACGTGACAAATTTAGGGACAATGGTAGAGCACCGAAGCGAATTTTAACTTTTATTTAAAAAGTGGAAATGTTAATTGGTCGGCATGCTTTAATACCATCGCCATTTAAAAATTGAACTCTATTAATTTTTACTGAGTTACTTTATTAATATGATTTATGTTAAAATTTTCAAGCGTTTCGTTTTTAATTGAAACGTACGTCCCGTCGCCCATTAGTTTACGAAAGAAAATTTAAAAAAGAACCTGTCGTTCGAAATATTGATTTTCTATTTTTATACTCGGCGTAAGATGTCAGAAGATTAATATCTTTATGGAGTAATCTATTGATTTTTTGCTTACTGCTTCCTTTTTTTAAATGTAACTTTTTAAGTAAAAATAATCAAATAATTAAAAAATTTTTAAAATATTGCAATCAAATTTTATTACATATTTTGCAATACCTCTTTCACTTTACTGGTTTAAAAAATTTGAAAATTATTTAAGTTGCTTTTTATCCCACAGAACATGGAACAAATCAAAAGAATAATGCGTCCGACAGATGTACCTGACACTGGCCTTCTCTGTGACCTTTTATGGTCAGATCCAGACAAAGATGTCCAGGTATACAATTTTTTCATCGAACAATTTAAACATTTATTATGAACATTTTAATTAATATCAATTTACATTATGGTCTTTGTCCTCCATGTTTTAGGGATGGGGTGAAAATGATAGAGGCGTATCTTTCACATTCGGCCCAGACGTGGTATCGAAATTCTTAAACCGGCATGATATGGACTTAATATGTAGAGCGCATCAAGTGGTCGAAGATGGCTACGAATTTTTCGCGAAAAGACAGTTGGTTACTCTGTTTTCTGCGCCGAATTATTGCGGAGAATTTGACAACGCTGGTGGAATGATGAGTGTTGATGAAACTCTGATGTGTAGTTTTCAGGTAAAGTTTGCAAATATATATACCGTGTGTATAATATGTACTGTGGATTTCTGAATCTAATTTTTATATATTACTCATGGTGTATGTGCAGATCTTAAAACCATCAGAGAAGAAAGCTAAGTACCAGTATATAAGTTTGAACACGGGTCAAGCTACGAGACCATCCACGCCGCAAAGGAATCCAGCCAAAAAGAAATGACAGCCTTGCACACGTCTCTTCCTTCATTTAAGGAAACTCGTCGACAAGGCGGCAAAATTTCTATTAAGGCGCGAACATTAAGAGCATAACATTGTACGATATGTTCTATCACTAACTAGCGGTTATGCCAAAACACATGAATAGCAAAAAAGAAAAAAGAAACAAAAAAACAAAAACAAAAAGGAACCGGTGAGACACGTAGTGGTGTTTGATCGTCAGGAATTATTTGTGATCGTTAAAGACTTTAAAAAAAGAAAGATACGGCAGTTTTAATTTTCTTCTTCTTCGCGTATGATTTAAATCTAGCACTTTAAGTAATTATTATTATGTTGACTGATTAGTGATTAAAATGGTAACCGTGTATTAAATAGATCCCGCCCGAGTGTGCTTGTTACGGAACGTTTAAAAAACAGACAAAAACGAAAAAATATTTCTGGCTTCGCTAATGCTTTCCGTGAGTGTTACGTTTCATGTTTCAGCATGACGACGTCAAGGGAAGCATGTGATATATTCACTACTTCCCTAATCACATCTTAAATAAGATAGTAATGATTAAAAAGGATCACTTCCGTGTTCTCTGGGAAATTATTTGCACATTATCTTCCAGAAACGGATGGTCCTGTTAATTGCCATTAGCGTTTACAAAAGGAATTTCAATATTCTCATTTTGACTATTTATTGCTTCCATGTTGAATGTTCAGTGTAATTATTACACATTGCTGATTAATTTCTAGTATTCCTCTTTAACAATAATTGCCATTGCTTTGCAACTGATTTAATTATTATTATCGTTTAACGAAACGCGCTGCATCATGTACATAGATATTTTTTCATTTCGCTCCATATATCTTTTTCTTTTTTTTCTTTTCACTTTGTTTACTAAGTCACATCCTAAATACATGTTTAAATACTTTAGTTTTCAGTATTCCAAAAGAACAACAGCACGTTCCAAGGTACGTTGTAGGAGTGTTAGATTGTTTATTCTCTACGAACGAAAGATCAGAGAAGAAAACAGAGAACCAGTATTTTTAAGACGATGATTCTATGCAGATTACTATTATCTCCCTTATTCGAATGACGTATGCTCTAATGAATGAAAAACAAGGGGATTAAAGGAGTTTAAAAATTATTTCAAATGCAAAATATACTTATTAAGATGTTGTATGTAAGAAGAAGAATCTCAGTCGCTGAGAGGTTTTAATCTTGCGATAAAATAGATGGAATTATAATATATTTAAACTACAGGATACCAAATCGTTGAAATGCAATTACACTTTTTATTGCATTAAAAAAGAAAGAACGATTACTCAGCTCAGATTGATTATCTGTTCTGAAAACATACTATTTCACTTTCAGATGTTTTGTCACTTTGTTTTTTCTCCAAATGTAACTTGATTCACGGGTCTGTAATTGATCTAAATGGAGCAATATGCAGCATTTAGTTATACTTAGCATGTGCTTGGATAACATAATATTTCATTTTCCTTTTTTTCCTTTATATTTCGTGAAGCATTTTTCTGTTACATCGTTTTAAGAGATGTACATTCTGCATTACTTATTATTTATCTTTTTCCTTCATTAAGTGCTTCAATAATAAAAGTAATTCACATAAATGGAAATTTAGAAAGTATCAGAAACGATTTGAATGCTGGCGTGCTTAGAAAGTAAGGATTTAAGACGATTTACGAAGAGTACATTAAAAAATGCAAAAAAAAAAAAACGATACACTATTTGAAAAATGTAAAAAAATGTGAAAAAAGAAAAGTACATTAGACTGCACTGTATCATTCAGAATAACTTATAGTTCCAGGAGTGAGAAAGCGTGGAAACGATCAACGTATTATCTGAAAGTGAAATAAATCGCACCGTTAGACGAGAAAATCGGCTAGCGCGTTTGTTTGTATGAATATTTCTAATTTATGTTTGTTAAAATTGTTATTTAAGCGGCAAGGATGAATCATTGTGAACTGTTTTCTATATTTGCGAAACAAATAGTCGAAACCGATTTATTATTATGAATTGTTGAACGGAAACAAAAAAATATGGACTACGAGCATATTTGACAAAGTTACGACAGTATATCGTTTGAAGTATTTACTCCTTTAGAGTTTAGGTAACCTCCACAAAAGTCACGTGATTTAAGCGAGCCGACTTGAAACGGCAAATTTCTTCCTTCCTCACACTTCCCTCCCACCCTTGATCAATTTTTCCCTAACCCGATATAAGTTTAATTGTAAAAGAAGCGGTTGTGATCCCCCGATATGCGTTTTGTCTGAGACTCGTAAATTATATACACAGATATTATATTTGTAAATGGCTGATCGGTCGTGATTCGACGATGCTCTATCAAATATGAGATGAAATGTAATACATACTACGAGTTGCGTGGACATAATCGACTATTGTCTATTGTTACATCGATCGAATCGCGACAGAACACGTCAATGCAATGACATCCTAAAGATGTAAAACTTTCAGATAATAAACATGCATATTGTTGTACAAACCTGTTCCTATTGTTTCAATATTTGCTTCTGGGTTAGGTGTCCTTGAATGTAGTTGATAGAGGTTGATAAAAGATAAAGAGAGAGAGAGAGCGATAAGATCGCGTGTATCGTATTGTTTCGAAAAAAAGAAGATTTATAGTAAAATTTGGGCAGTGTTTATTTTATTCGTTGACAGCACGAACGAATAGTACAATAAACAATGGTGGCGAGAAACGTTAATAAATAGAACTTCGTGGACGATGATACGCACTGTGAGAAAAGAAATAATCAGGCAATAGGTATCGAATGGTTGTTTAGGATACGATGTAAGTACTTTTTCACATCTTTTTTTTGTTATCTTTTTTCGTGACTTTATTTGGCTTTTTTCATCGCTTTTTTTCGTATCACGCGTTCCATGCGGGGCGACGCAGTCATCAGTAGGCGTGAGCTGCAAAAAGATCGATAAACCGATCAGGCACAAAAATCACATGATAAATAGAACAAGGTGAATGTAGCTTCGAGAGTTCTCAACGAACGAATCAATTGTTTCAAATTTGTACGGTTTCTTAAACACATGTTTTCGTCTACGTGCTTTTTAATTTAACGTTTCAAAAATGTGTACGTACAATATCTTTCGTAGAACTCTCGAAACGTGACACTAGGACACAATGAATGTACAAATAAGAATTAGAATATTTTTCAACAAGGGTGAAGGAAATGAGTATCTTTACACGGTAAGACAGAAGTGGTCGACACGGATCGTGTTTCCGGTGTCCGTCGATATCTAAAGCCTTTGTGTTAAATCCGAACATCCTCTGCAAACACAAACTATCGACGGGTCTATCAAACAGTAGTTATCGAGAAAATGTGGGAACAAGAGTTTTTTGTATCAAGAATTCGGGAGTTTCTGTTTGCAGGGCAACATGCCTCGATCTTCCGTTGGTATGTACACAATGTATATATACACATATATATATATATTAGTCAAATGAAATATACATAGAGGAGCGAGTCTCAAATAAAAAATGACCTATTAAAGAGGGCGTTGTAAATCCAGGCACGTAAGTGACGTATAAAATACAGACAAGATGTGCGGCGCTGTTTGGCAACAATTCTTCGTTGTTTAATTGGATGATTGTTTCGAATTTTAACGGATAAGTGGTTTATGATCTTATGATGACACGGTTAAGGTCGATAATACAGCTTCCTTTTGCTCGAGCAGCTCAAGTAGAACACGAGCTACTAAGTGTAATGTTTGTTTTGTTTAGACTTGAAACGTATTTTTTCTCTCTTTGTCGTATTAATGCTTGTTACGTTTAGCTGCGTGTTAATTGATAAAATACACCTCATCGTAGCCAGAAATATGTACAGCGGTATGACGTGATCGTTCCTCCTGATTATTTATTCACAGAATTAAACGAGTAAGGATAAGAGAGGGAGCAAAACACTTGGCCACATTTTAATCTTATCGCTCACTTTTTTTCTTAATATGTGGTACGTTTATTGTACCACGGGCGGGTAAAGTGAAATCGTGGAACTGGCTGCGAATAATAGTAGTATAAGTCTCCTGAAATACAACACACATATTCTAGTTGCACATCATTACTTTTGTTCGTTGAATTTGTAATTTTTTTTTTTTTTTTGAATTTATGAAATTTGTTTACACGTTTTTAACTGCAACTGTTTTTTGTCTCTTCAGTGTAAGCATGTATGCGAATTTTCTTTCTCGTAATCGATTTGAACGATAATTTTATGTACACGAATAAGTAGCAATTTTCAGAACCAGAATCGATCGATCGAGGCGCACGTGTACGGTAATATAGCATTGAGAAAATATAGTTTAGCAAGTGGGTGGCTTCGTATCAAGGTGAAGTCTGCTTCTGGCAAAACAATGCGCGAAGTCAGCGACACTATTACCTGAATTATCGAACGGGACACTGAGCAAAAGTTGCACGGTTCCATTTTTGATGACGCCATATATCTACGAGTTTTTTATACAGTTAAATGAAATTTGTTTATGTATTATTTTCTTATTACGACTCATTAAAGTCTAGAAATAAATATCGCTGCTATTTCGAGTATTGTTTTTATTATTTCGATATTTAAATAATTTTCTCACTTTTTTTAATCAACTGAATCTTTTTTATATAAGAGGATTTCTTCCCTTTTATGAAACATAACGTTACAAAGGAAAATTGATATGAATGAACAAAGAGAATACTAACACTTTGACGGAGGTATTATTACCGTGGCATTTCAGTTAACCGTGCACCGGAAGTGGTAATTCCGCCATGATGCTCGCTCGCGCCTTTATTGTATAATATAAAACCTGACCGCATTATCGATCTTAGCTTTTTGCTATTTAACAACCTGCATAATTTGCTTTCTTATAAATAAATCTTCGTTTATCATCTTAAAATTTCTTCTTGGAACACTTGAAGATCTACAAATGCCAACTAAAGCGACACAAATGATACTAAATAGATGTTCAATAATTTTTTCAGCTACGTTAAATAATTATTATTATGTAAGAATGAGCAACTGCTGCACAAGCGTCCTTGGTTATTTATAATAGCCGTGCTCTTGAATAAGTCATGGACATTATATCCCACGGCTAATAAAGGCGGTATTAACGAAGACAATAAATCGAATTTTGGAATTCGAGTAATAAAAATTGTAAAGTTTGGGTCATTGAGTTGCCGCGAATTTTGCACAGAAAATGTAAAAGACTATTCGAAATCCAAAAATATTGCAAAATATACTGTCCTAGTGCGTGTTAAAAGTGATTCAAAATAAGACGGTGTTAAATTTCAAATTTCAGAAAAATTTGGGTCGTTAAATTGCTTCGAATTTTGCATGTACAATCGAAAAAATCCGGAACGTATTAAAAATGATTTAAAACAGGACA